TAGCTGCACATTGTTCGTTATACTATAATTCCACAGGGTAGAAAACTGCACACTAAACAATTTTCTAAAACGCCAGAGTAGAAAGTTCGAAATTTTTGTGAATTTTTATTGAATTTTTCTAAATGTTTTGTAAAGTTTGAAAGTGGCGTGATTAAAATTTTTTTTTTAATAACTATACAAATTATTGGTAGCTTTTCTCCAGATTTGGTCGATTTTTTCAAGTGGATGGTAAATATTTTTTTATGAAAGTGACAACCCTGGTCATGTTATTTATATTACGTAGTTTGCTTGGCGTACAGCCGCAAACTCTCTAATCCGATGGGTTTAAACGATTTCTCAGTTTCATGTAACTATCATTTGAATGAGTGTGACTGACTGGTGGGACACTGAAAAGAACTTAATTTTACCTTTGTGCACTCAACGATGAATTTTAGCCAAAAAAAAAACACTTAATTTTCGCGAAAGATGTTTCTGTTTTGTAAAATATGGACCATACGCTTTCGTTTTCAATAAAAATTAGGCTTAGGATAATATCCATAGAAATATTAAAAAATATTCAAATTTCTGACTGCTGTAAAATAATTATGCATGAATCTAAAGATTCCATAGACAAAAATTACAACTTCCTTCAATTTGTTTAATATTCTTCATCTGAGAATGAAATGTATTCATTAAAAAAGAGGTTACTACTGAAATAGAGATAATTAGGACATTTTAAAATTTATACCGTTTTCTTTTTTTACATGGAATAACCCAAAAATTTAATTACAAACGAGGTTACTAGTTTTTAATCGATAGTTAGCGTTAAAAAATTGTTTATCGTTATCTGCATTTTTTTTTCGTTTTCCTAGTAATCAGGCTTCGGAGCAAAGGTTTTTTTCATCGCTTCGCTCTTTTTCCACTCCCGCTCCCAACAAAAAAATTGCCAAAAAACGTAGGCGAAATTTTTTTGAAAAATTTCTGTTTGATACCGAAATGCATCTAGATGCTCTAGGAACTCTTCTGCATCCTAAAGAAAATTTGAAAAATAAAAAAGTTAATAAAATAGAATGGATATTTATTTAACACGATTGTTTCCAGTGGCAAAAAATTATAATTGCAGTAAATTTATTAAGTGAAATTTGTTTAAATGCTTGGGGAAAAACGACAATAAAAAAAATTTCTAAATATGTATGTAAATCGTTAAAAAGCGTAACATACCTACATAGTTGTCTGCAGCTTTATACAAATGCGCATATTTAATTCGAGCTCATTCTTAAATGTCTGGGCCCATCCAAAAACGGAAGTGACAAACTTCCATTCATTCTTAAACCATGCCCTTCGCAATTAACACATCCTTTTCTTAGCTTTTTTCCTTGGCTTTTTTGGTCATTGAAAATATGTATGTGTGACTTTTTAGCCGTTATTATGCTACTCAAAATTAAGGGCCAACAAAGCGTGCCTACGAACGATTATTCACACAATCTGTTATTATTCATTCCTTATGCCATTCACATCTATTTTCCGCATTTTTTTTTTCAGAAATCCCCTCTCTCTTTTCGCTGATTTCTATTTCGTATTTGCTTACACACTTTCATATATGGTCAACGTAACCCAGTTTCAAATTTATCAAATGTGTGTAGGCAAACATGTAAACTGTAAATAGGTTTGCTTTTTATACCCCAGTGCACTTGTGCACAAGGGTATTACAATTTTGTTCACATAACGGTTGTTTGTAACAGCCAAAACGAATCGAGATACATAGATATAGACAAATGTATACATAAATGATCAGAATGAGAAGAGAAGTCGATTAAGCCATGTCTGTCTGTCCGTCCGTCCGTCTGTCCGTGTACACGATAGCTCAAGCAATAATTGAGATATCTCAACGAAATTTGTCCAAGGCAGGTTGATATTGAAAATGACCGAAATCGGACTGTAGCCACGCCCCCTTCTCATATAACGCGATTTTCGAAAAATGCAAAAACTATGATATTATTGGATCCAAATTGTTGAAAATTAGTATGTGGAGTAGAATTTCGATGCAAAATAAATCCTTACCAAACTCGACACGAGCCATGCTAAGGATCCATCTAAGAAATTGGTTGAAAATCTTTGAAATCGGGCAATAGCCACGCCCACCTCCCATATAACGCGTAATTTACAGAAACACGAAAACTGCGATAAATCAGTGACTACTAAAGCCGATTGACTTAAAATCGATTATTGCAATGACCACTGAGCAGAAAATTAGATTATAAATTTTTAGATTTTGGGCGTGGCTCCGCCCAAAAGTTAAAAAAAACGGTTTCAAAGAAATGTACACTGTTCTCTAAAAATTTACGAATTTTCCAAAAAATAATAGCTCACCCTGATGAGTTCGTTTTTTATTATGTATGTATGTCCATGCCAAAAACTTTGACTACGAGCCTCTCCTTTTTAATTAATTTAATGTATTTTTTATTGTGTTAGCGTTGAAATTTAATTTTTTTGTAGTGATGTATGAAAATTTGTCCCAACGTTTTATTTAGTGGCAGATAATCATGCTTGAATATTATCTCACCTACATAGTTGTACTTTTTATTTTGCTTTGAATATTATGTTACTTCCAAAAGTTGATAAACATTTGCAAACATTCGTGCATATATGTAGTGTGTAATGAACTTTTGTAACATTTATGTACATATGTACGTACATTAGATTGTACCAGAAAAGTAAGTTCGCCGTACATGCCTCAGTGTTAATTATTTTTGCGATGCAATTCGAAAAAAATCCATTACCGAAACCAAGAAAGGTCTGAATATACTATAGGGATCCGGCGTCATCTATTTCGATGGCTAAAAAGGGGTTAACTGAGTTCCATGGAATGATATTGGACGATCGGAGAATGAAAATGTGTGAAGTGGCTGTAAGCATATGAACAGAGTGGCTACATCACATTTTACAGTAATATTTGGATATGAAAAACCTGTCCCCGAACCATGGATCCACCACATCCCATGAGAAACCAAGGAGCTATCAAAAAGTGCACACCAAAGAAGGCCATATTGGGTCTGTCGGTCAATAAGGTCATGGCCACAGTTTTTGTTTTTGGGATGCCTTGAAAAGGGCAAAAGAATCACTAACGAATATTAGACAATACACGAGGTATGAACTCCTAGCCCATTCACTATATTAACCAGATTTAGAGGTCAATTCTGGCAACTGGCTTTCACTCACCATAGTCTTTCCAAAGAGAACGTCTTAGTGTTACGCGTTCGCCTCTTAGAAAAATAAGATTCAATAAAAAACATACATTTTTCTTTTTAAAAAAATAAAAAGGAGGAACAAAAAACTGAAGGTAAGGCAAAAATACAAAAAAATATTTTTCAAAATTAAATGAAATTAAAATTAAATTTTATTTCGTAAAACAATAAAATCTAAAAATTTAATTTGAAAAAGAAAAAAATTTAAGAAAATCGCACTTAAAAATAAAATAAAATATAGTGATTTCCGAAATAGCTATCACCTCTACCATTTTTTCGAATTGTTGTTGCCTTTCCACAATAGTTTTTCAGTAAAAACGGTCTCAAGCTCAATAAAAATTGTTGAATAAAATTAAATAAAAAATAAAAAATTTTCCTTAAAAAATCTAAAAGTTTAAAAAAAATAAAATAAGATCCTAACAACTAAATGAAATAAAAACAAAACTTATTTTTAATATAATCTTTTTAAAACAATAACATCTAAACAGTAAAAGAAAATTAAATTAAAAAATTGAACTAAAAAATAGCTATTTTTCTATAAATTAACAAAAACAAAAACAGAAAAAATTTATTTAAAGGGGGAAACATAAAAAAAGTTTCTAAAAATTTAAATAAATAAAAAAAGAAAAATTAAAACAAAATTATTGAAAAATAAATAAAATAAGTAGACACCTAAAAATTAAATGAAAATAAAAAAATAAATTAAAAAAAGAAAACAGATACATATAAGTTTCTAAAAAATAAAAGTGGATACCTAAAATTAAACGAAATTAAAAAACAAATATTTTTCTTTTTAAAAGAATAACATCTAGAAATTAAAAACAATAAATAAATCTAAAAATTAAAAGAAAACAACAAAAATAAAAAATTTTTAAATTAAAACAAGTAATTTTTACACAAAAAACAAAACCGACTTCAATTCTCATATAGAAACTTAAGAGTACTGTTAATTTCTTAATGATCCAATGATCGGATCGGAGTTACCACCTTTCCTTCAAAAAAGGAATTTTAGAAATCGGTTAACGTGGTCCATACATAAAAAAAATATTCCGACGAATTGATAACTTTCTCCCTTTTTTGAAGTCGGTTAGAAAAGAAAGAAATGCCCGCTCCCCGAGGACTCGAACTGTGCTTTGCTCACTCGACCATTGCGACTATTTTGCGACGCAAGCTAAACGATAAGCAGGTGCTCTCATCAAGAGCGGTGAATGAGAGAGCTTTTTTACTAAGCCTTTTGCGCTAGAATAACAAAGGTATTTCGAACTATCTTGCCATCCGTCTTTCATTTGTCTTACGAAATACTTTTTACTGTGTTAACCAGAAAAGGCCTGTTAGCCCTCAGCGACTATTTCCTGTTTCCAAACCCAAAGAAATGGCTAGGCGGTAAGAGATTTGGGTCGAATGAAAAGGTCATCACTTAACCAAACGCCTATTTCGAGGACCTTGAAATCGCCAAGACAATTTTTTTAGTTCCAAAGTTCACTGACCTCAAGTAACCCTATCTAGTATTTACTCACCAGATCTCAGTTTTTTCACCCTAATGCTAAGGAAGTATTTCAATTATTCCAATAAAAGCATTTAAAAAAAGTTGGATTGCTGAATGTAGGTGTCACCGAAAAATGTAAAAAGGCTGCCCCTACGTTTAGCAAAAAAAAAAAATCGAAAGTGCCTTGCAAAAATACTTTACTTCTCAGGGGTGTACGGCGAACTTTTTTTGTTTGCTTGTAAGGTGGTACGGTCTAATGTACATACATGCGTATGAGACAACTGCCTGGTAAACTTAATCAGGCAAGTGAGTGGGTGGTTAGTGACCACTTGACCATCTCTGTTCTTCCCAACTGAATATGTATGTATGTATGTATGTACATACATATGTGTAGTGAATGCAATGCCTAAGCGACCACTTCACCACACTTCAGCACAGTTAATGTCATACGTTCCATTTGTCGTGTACGTATGATGGCCGCCAGTCAGTGGCTGCCACAGAGCAAATACAACACACAAGTAGCGTCAAGTGTCATCAGCAGCTCATCACAAACATTTGAGGCTTTACCAGCGACGTGCTCAGACATTTCTGTCATTCAGGCGGATACATTGCGGACTATAGATGGTTGGTTAACCGGGCAGTGCCGCTTGGAAGTCACTAATCGCCTGTCTCTTATGCGGGTTGTGCAGTGAAGTGTTAAATTACAAAAAACCGTAGTGTTGACAAATTGTGTGCTGTATCTGATATTTTTTTTTCTTAATTTTTTTAATGAATTTTGACAAATTTTGTGTGACTAAAACGCATTTGAGGCGCGCCCGTATGACATGTTGCCTTCAAGCGGCAACGACACTGCGGCATGAGATCACTCGCCAGTAGCGTGTCACCCTGGGCGTTACGATGCGGTTAAAAAATTTAGGAAATTATTTAGAAAACAAAATTAGACATGAAAATAATTTAAAAAAAATAGTCGTAACTAGTTAATTTGTGCAAAAATTTTTAAATTAATTTCTGTATATTACTTTTTAAACTGACTTAAAAACTAATTTTTATATCTAACTTCAGTTGTGCCTCTTTAATGAAGTCATCGACTTGCCCTGAAAATGGTGAAAATTCTGCAAGCCTATAACTTTGCCAAGCAGCACACTTACTCTCTAAATGGTGACATACTCTCCGCCTCACTGATCGATTCCAGTCGCATCGCTGTGAGCAGCGCTGAGCAATTTATTGAGATCTATGATATCGGCGGCAAGCAGCGACGCAACGAATTGAATGGCATCGATTTGAATGCCATTACCACGGCAAGTGAGTATGCCGCAGCTGAGGCAGCAGCAGCGGCAGCCGCAGCACAAGCTGCCGCAGATGAGCGACTGCCCACGAAATATACGCTCGCAACGGTGGGTGAAGTGGTGCACTTGATTTACTGTGAAGCAGGTGAGAATTATGGGTACTGAATTTCAAATTTTCAGAATTTGTTTTTTTAGTATAAATAAGGGTTCTCTTTTATTAGAAACAACCCTCGTTAGCCTCTCAACATAGATTAGTGACGTCAAAATTTGATTTCGTATGCCCCGTTCTCTCTGTCTCTCTCTCCTCTGCAGGCAAATATCTACTGACATTGGAGAAGGAAACGCTCAGCAGTCCAGTAGAAACTGGCACCACGGGCATGAGCTGTACGAGCAGCAGCAGTACTACCACCATCTGTCCGGAAGAAGACACTAAAATGTTCGTGCGTATCTATGCAAACTTTTGGAAATTCCCCGATGCAAAACTTATCGACCTCCCTATAACTATACGCATCGCGTCCATGACCACACCCAAGGCTCCACTAGTCGAGAGCATCGATGTGATTGAGCTGCCTTTGCGTAGCCCACCCGATCTCATACAATGCTGCCAGACGTCGGGCAACATTATTGTGAGCAGCAAGGAGCGCATCTATCTATACGAGTATACCCAGTGCATACACGAAACTACACAGCCACGTTTCTCCTACATCGACTTTCTACCTTTTAAATTTTTTGTAAATCTAAATTTTCTACCGTTGCGCTTGTGTCTCGCCGAGAATGTTATCGCAGCAATGAATAATCGCTACTGTGTCGCTTTCAAGGTGGTCGACGTGGTTGGCAGCAGCGCAGCCGGTGGCGCACATTGCAGCCCCATGGATAATGATTACGGCGGCGGCGGTGGTGGCGGTCGTGGTGATGGTGGTGGATTAGACGATGTGGCCGATGTGGATGTGGATGAGGCCATCTCGAGTACGGAATCGAGTCTAATGAGTAAAGTGAGCGGCGGGCCCTCGAGTCATAACAGCTTTGAAACAGATTCGTTGGAGACGACCTCAAGTGGACGACCGTTGGGCGTGGCTGGTTTTCCTGGACGCACGCCAATCGATTTCAATGTGGCGCGCATTGTGAACTCCGCCTGTGGACGCGAATTCGAAGTGGATTTGAAATCGCAATGGGAGTTGGGTGATTCCATAAGTGTCGGTGGTGGCATGGCGCCGACATTGATTGGTAGTAGCGGCGTTGGTGGCGGTTGTGGGGGAGATACACAGGAGATTATAATTATGCCAGCACGCGCGAATGACATCAAAATTAAGCTGGTCAATGAAGCGAAAGCTATGAATTTACAAGTGAGTGCAGATTATTTTTTATATGTATATATAATATATTTATATTTATATATATAATGTATTTTTAATTATGAGTACTATTTTCTTTCCCTCAACCGCAGCGCGTCTCCAGTCATGGCAACATGACGTACGTTTACAACGAGGACACTAGCGTACAATATGATGTACGCAAGCTGTTGCAGATTTGCATGAAATCTTCGGAGCCCAACGGGCGCATTGTAGATATTTTACGTTGCATGGATTTGAAAGCGATTTATCAGCGCAATCCAAATGAGGAGGGATTGGAGGACTCTGAATATGATATGGGCAATCAGCAGGTGCCAGGTGCTGTAACCACGACCAAGCACGCCAATCGACGCACACTCAAATCTGGAGATCATCAAAGTTGCGTGGGTTATGCTTTGTTGGTGGCAAGCAGCGTGGATGGCTATCTGTATCAGTTTTGTGCGCAAGGTGTGTGAAATGATCTAGCGAATCGCTATTTCTGGATATGCAGTTTACAATTTCATTACTTTTTCCGCTCCTACAGGCAAATGGTACAGCGAGAACGAGAAGCCCATTGCCGTCTACTCGTTCACCGCTCCTGTGCTGAGGGTGCATATCAACGATTATGTCATTTACGCCATTACCACAGAGTCAGTGGAAACTCACACGTCACGCATTGGCCACAAACTCTACCACAACCGCTTTGAATATCCCACACTGGGCGGACTTTTCCCCGAGGAGTCGAGTCCGGATGTGAACTCGGCCATTGCGGTCATCGGCCTCTGCGCCTTCATGCACGTTCAATATGTGTGTGTGAATCACAATAATTTGGTTCTAATCACCAATAGCGCACTGGCCAACAACAACAACGAGGCGAGCAAAAGACGCAGTGGTGGCGCGCCCGCTGGCAGCGCTGGTGGACGCAATATAGCTGCGCGCATACTCGCCGAGGCTAAGGTAAAGAATTTGTTACGCAGCAGCAGCAACAATGCTGCACAACCACCGTTACTCAATGAATGGACGCTCTACAATTTGGATTTGCCACCGGTGGAGCATGTCATTGAGGACTTGGAGGCCATTGCTGAGTCATATCGAGCGGCTAGCAGCTCAAATTTTTACGATTTGATGGAGGAGGCGCATGTCATGTTGCGGCTGAGTCTGTCGCTGCAGTGTGAGCAATTGACCGAGGAACGTGAGCAACAGCTGCGCAGCAAATTCGTTGAGAATTGCCGAAAGTTGGCAGACTTTTCGATACGGTAAAGCGCCATGATTACGAATGTACATTTTTAATTTTATTTTTGGTATGCAAATTTGCAGTTCACGCAAGAAGGAAGTTTACCTGCAGGCCACTGGCTTCTATAAAATGTGCAATCTACAATTGACGGACATCTACAGCAACTATATCAACTGCTATGTTCAACCCGCATGCGTCGAGCAGCAGCAGCTGCCGTTTGGGAATTGCAGCGATTCACCGTTGACTGATGAGACGCAGCTAGTTGGGCTAATTTACACCGTGAAAATGTTCCTGCTAGGTTTGGGCACCGATCGCCTACTAGCCGCCTTTTTAAATCAACTGGTGAAGCCATTTTTCACACCTAATCGTGTCATCGAACAGGGCTACCCGCAAGTGCCTTTGTCGCTGGAGTTTCTAAATATGTTTATCAAATATTCGCCAAGCGATATACCACAAATAATGTTGAATTCGCCAGTGGTGGCAGATGCGATCAGCGGCGAGTTGGTCAACTACCTTAAATATTTGGATAAACTGTAAGTTGTCAAAAATTCCTGAGTCGTAGCTAACTTTGAAACAATTTTTCTCGCACTCTCTCCTTCCCTCCTTCACCCTAAAAACAGCAATCCTGATGAGAATCTTTTACTCGCCGTAACAGCCTGTCGCATGTCCAACTATTTGCTCGCACAGGAAGTGGTAACTCGTCTGAGTCGCCGCGAATTGACGGTTGCTCTGATGAAACATAAGAACGTACTCTTCGACGATGGCACTGTACTATTTCAGCGACGCGGATCTCACCATCATGATACGCTGAAATTTCGCAACGGTTCCAGTGGGCCAGGCGCACAACTCCACAAATCGGCCGCTGCGCAAATAATGCGCCGTCAACAAAAACGTAAACCTTCATTTGGTCAAGCGCACAGTGCGAGCCCCTTGCTTGCGCCCACACACACTGGGCATGGCGTTATATCGTTTTCGGATTTTACTGAAACCATTTTGTTGGCCGCAGAGAATGCGGATCTGATTGAGGCCATCAGCGATGTTTTCATACATGCCTTGTGCATAGAACATAGCATTACGTTGGAGATTATTTTACAGCTTTTTCTCAACTATATCGCCTCGCATATCGGTCATAAGGGGTACCAGACGTCGCAGAAGGTGTTTGTTAATATATTGCAAGTGAGTTAGATTCAAAGTAGTAGAAAAAATTTAAGACAAAAACTCTATGTGGTTGCTCTGCTATTCACTTTCACAGGTTTACTACTACGACTATTTCGATGTGAATCCAATGCGAAATCCGCACGATATACCTACGCATACGCCGCCTCACATGGAGGGCGTTGATGAATACGATGAAACTTCCTCAAAGGCGCCCTCTCTAAACAGTGAACGCGACAACGAATCAATTGCCAACTCACTACCCGAATCGAATTCCGGCGCAAGCTCGTCAATAGACGATCGCAGTTATTCGCATCCCATAAATCGTAATCGCATCGTCTACGATCAGCTGCATGATCCAAGCTCTCACTATAAGCGTAATATTACAAACTCACCAATACAATTAGACACAAATGAGCAACAGACGCCCACGCAAGGTAACAGCGATGCTGAAACGAATCTAAAAGGCCTGAAAATACTCTTTCGCATGTATATGGGTCGCCTTAAGGCGTTGAGTGATCTTATAACTGATCTGCAATCGGCCGATGTCGAACAACAGCCAGTGAATGAGGATTTCGTGAGCTTGCGCATGGAATGCATAAAATTTATGATACGCCATTTACAGGAATTGCGCGCACAACAACAGCAGCAGCTGCAGCAACAGAATATTTTGCTGCGCCACAGTGCATATACTCAGTATTATTATGCGAAATCAGCAAGTAGCAGCGTTGCGCAACCGCCGGTCGCAGCAGAAGAGCGCAAAATCATCTATGTGCCCTTTATACCGGATTATAAATTGAGTGGCGAGGAGTTTGAGCGGCACATTAAGACATATTTGCGACCGATTCCATGTTTGCTAGATCGTCCGCAGTACCTTAATCGTTTGCCGCCATTTCGACGCGATGACTTCAGTTATCCCAATCGCGATGAGGGTGAGTGTGAGGTGCACTTCTTGGGCTGGCATAATGAGCTGCTAACGCTGACGTTGAAAATACAGGTGAGTGAGGGACAATTTTTATGAGATTACGATAAATTCGAACAATAATAAAAATATAATTTATTTTGCTTTCAGTCGCTCCTGGCATCAACAAAAATCGATCGTGAAATCATTGAGGAGTTTATCGCATTCATACAGAAGACACCGGATTTGATTGGCATCGATAGCTTCCTGGTGATTGTTTTACCAAAACATTTAGCCATCAATTATATGCTAAATTTCTGTCCCGAATATATGTGGCAATATGGCAAGGTAAGAATTGAAGAGTTAGGAAGGCTGCCTATATATTTAGCCGTATCGCTTATAATGGAAATACATATGTATGTACATATAATCGGTCTTATGCTTAATATCGGCATCGACATCATCGACGATCGTCAGCGCATCAGTAAATGGATATTCAGCATAGGGCCAATTGATAGCAAAATAGATACCTGTGTCGAAAGCAACATCGGTACATACATATGTATGTATGTATATAAATCGATAACAATATCGATATGTATGAATATTTCTACATATTTCGATAACAATATGAGGAAATATATATTTATCGATAACATCCTCGATAAATAAGAATTTTCCTACATATATCGATAATAATATAAGGAAATATGTATGTATCGATAACACTATCGATAAATATTTTAGCGATATTGATTTCGGCAAATATGTCGAAAGTAGCATCAGTAAAAATATCGGTATAACAAAAATATGCACTGATAATCAGCCTCATTGTGAATGTCGTGCGGAGTACAAGTCGTTTTTCGTGAAACGAGTCGTATCGAAAACCACATGGCATTGCCTGAAACTTCCACTCGGCTAGTGTATTGAAATGGAAACGATTTTCGTCGTTTACTTATTTCAGCATGACAGTAGGTAATGCCAATGTTGTCCAGTCTTACAATTTAGCCTAATTTACTACTTACGTAATGAGGCTTAATATCTAGTATCGATAAAAAAATATTGATTAATACATATAGGCATAAAATGTGTATTAGTCGATAATATGATCAATTCGGACAATTTTAACGAAAGTCACATCACTAAATATATCGGGAATGAAGTAGGGCATATAAAAATATGCACCGATAATATTTACTGTCGATAAACAAAAAATGTCGATCTTTACAAATTTATCTAAAATGTGTATTTATCGGTAAAATGATCTATGTTAAGAAATGAATGTTTCGAAGAATTTCACAGCTTTTTGGTTATTAGGTTAACAGGTAATTATTTTCCATTGTGGGTGTTCGAACCTGACAGGGTTTTGGGCTATTTGCTCATATATTTCATGTACAGTTTGCAACAAAGAAATTAACTGAAGGATACTAATCTTCAACCAAATAACCCAATATCCAGGAAGGCATAAAAAGCTCCACTGTATTTTATTTTAAACTGAATAAAAAGGATAACCGTGTAACTCCAAAACGTTAATTAATTTTTGTTCTTAGGAATTTCTTACAAAATATTTTTTTTTCTGACGCAGGTATAAAATTTATAAAAAAAAAACTTTATATATTTAAGAATTTCCATTCTTATTCATTTTGATTATAAAATATCGAAGATGTGAGTAATGCATTAGCCCATTCTTTACATTCAAAACAATGAATAAAAATTTTAAAATATAAAATGGCGAAGATATAAGCTCCCTCTTTTTGGGATGGTGTAGAAGATTTCTCAGTCGGTCATCGCCTGAAAATTCCGCCAAACAATTTATTATTTTCGAGAGCAATGCACTACGTTGGAAAACAATTATTATTTTTTTTTTGCAAAAATGGCAGTAGTTTGAAGAAAACGACATGAATTTTCATCAAAATTTTAGAATAATTAAATTCATAACTTAAGAACGGCACATCGCCGTGACTTTGTGCTTTAAACAGCAACATAAAGAGTTTGAGGTAAAAATCTCAGCTAAATCGCTTTAGTTGCTCTTGACATAACGTGTACAACAGTGTGAAAAAATCGGTTCGAGAAAAACGCAAAAGGAAAAATGCACCTCTTTTCGGTGCCTTTCTTCTACTCCCACTTCAACCTTCGTAATTTCCTAGACCTTTGAATTTCGGAATGAGACAGCGCTTAAAATATTCTTGGAAGGATAACGCATAAAAAAAAATCTATTTTTATATGGAAGAAAATACGCGACACCCTCGACAAAAAAAAAATCTCAAAAATCAAGGGAATTTTTCAGAATTTTAAACTTGCACATTATTATACATGAGCTACAAAAAATTCTGAAAAAAAGTTGAACATTTTGATGAACATATTTTGAAATTTGTTAAATTTTCCTAAACTGTTTTAAACTTTAACTTATATGGTTTATGTTATAGAATCTAATATATTTTTATAAAAAAATTATGAAAAAATTTAACACCTAAAAAAGTTAAAATAAGTTAGTTATTTAGGTGAGCGCGAACTTCGTTTTTTTTTTATTTTTTCAGTGGTGTAATTCCTTAAAAAAAATCGGATATGTAATATTTTTTTTATTATTTGCAGTCTAACGGCTTTACACCAAAACACTGGGAATCGCTGTTGAAGAAAATCTTAAGCAAACAAAATTTGGTGCCCAATTGGAAGGCACATATCACCGGTATGTAAAAAGTCTATACCTACTCAAATACTATTTTTCCTTTCAAAACTAAATACTTGTAATTTACAGAAATACTCAACAATCTAGTGGCCGAGCTATCATTCGAAGAACTACTGCAATGCTTTCCCAGTGAAGCTATCAAACATCATAAAACCGAAGCATTTTTAAAAGAATTCAAAGATAATCGCATCAACTACGTCAACGACAAGCTGACGTTCGAAGACAAGGCACAACAAAATACGCTAGACAACGAAACATTGCTGGCACGCGATCATCTTCCAATGGACAACATTGACGAGAATAATGTTTTTGAACTCACATTGCGTAAAGCTGTTTCGAAACAGCGTAGTATTGCGTTGCGTTCAATGATCGAGTCGACGGGTACACAACTATTCGATGCTACTAGTAATCCTATGTATAATCTATGAGATAACGGTTGCATACAGAATAGGAATACATATAAGAAAAATAAGCTACAAAGATACAAAATTTAAGTTAAAGCATTTTGCCAAGTTGAGTCGTTGAACGTGCGTGGATTATTAAAAACATGTGTAATTATTATTAAATAGCAGTGATAGTGAAAAGTAGTTTATTTAGAACGAGTACTATAATTAAGAGCCATAGATCATTGAAACTTTTATTGATAAATTCTATGCTTATAATGCAATTTATTTACATATTATAAAGGCATACATGCATACATACATACAGGCAAGCCATGCACTCTACACATTATTTATTTAATTGTTAAGATTAGCAATTAGAGCGAGTTTTTGTTTCGATTTTTAGATTAAGCAGCTTGTGAAGATGCAGAGCATTTCAGATTTACATACATACACACATTTTTTTTATTAAAGATGCATTTAAAGCTTTTAAGCTGTAGAAAAAAAAACTAAAACTGAGCGATATGACTCGATTTATACATCGTTTTTAGCCTTTTTTCTATTTATCTAACATTTTTGTTTCTTAACAGAATGTTTATAACACTTTATACAAACTAAAGTTCTTTAGTTGCGATTTTCTTAATTACACTAGTTTTTAATAAACGTACATAGAATCCGGCTGCGTGATTTAAAATCCTTTTTTGATTTCAAATACGCCAAATTAAAAATCAAATTTACTTTTGCTTTGATTCGTCGGACCAATAAAAAGTTGAATATATTTCTGATTTGATTTATCGACCAAATATAAAATAAAATGTATTTATGATTCGATTCGTCGGACAAATAGAAAATTAAATTATAATTATTTGGGCCAAATTCGTATTTATTATGTTTGCTGGGTTGGAGCTGCTTTATTGTTTTAGCATCAACGATTTTTACTAGTAAATACTAATAGAAAGTAATTTTGTTTCTTGAAAATCGTATTTGTGTTCCAAAAAAAAATGTTTTATTTGGTTGACGAATCAAATTACAAACAATTTTTATTCATGATTTGACTCGGCGAACAGATAATAGATATTTAGGATTTCATATCACTTTCAATTCCGAAACCAATTTTATTTTTAGATTTGCGAATTGACTAATTAAGATCATGCAACCCTGCATAGAAACTAATTTTTCGGTGTACATAGTTGATTTTAAATTCGTTTAAATCTTTTGTGAGTAATCTACCGACTTTTGCGTAGAGCTTAGTTTCAAAAAAAACAAATAGTTAGGGCCTTTTGATATTAAGGTTACGATATATAGTTGTATACATATGTTGCTTTTTTAGAATTCCAGCTTTTGATGTTCGTCTTTTTTTATTTCCATACGCATAGCAATTAGTATAAATTATTATGCGACATATTTAAACGTACTGGGTGTGTTCGATCTACGTAATAATCACCGCAAGCAGCTTGTATCGTTTATTCTCTACATTTATGAATATTGCATTTTATAAATTAAAAATACAACATTTATTGCATTTGCATTACACAGCAGCGAGGGTTTGTCGTTATTCTAAATACTCATGAAATAAAAAACACAAATCTGTGATGAGAGCAGACAAATTTTTGAAAATAAGTAAAGCATTAAGTATTAATTTGTTTAAGGCTAAAAGTTATTATACATATTTCTGTGTTCGTATGGAATAGTAGCTGGTGTCGAAAGGCTGGCTTTAGTATAATGCGGCATTCGCAGCATACGATTGCGAATGACTCGCTGGAGCCGAGCCGTTGAAAAACTTTTGGCAAATAAACGTGCAAGAAATAGTTTCATCAAAAAATTCCTTGACGTTTAAAGAATAAAGGCAATGCCGCATTATACTAAAGCCAGCTTGAACACAGATTTGCTTTGCATTTATGTATATATTGAGATACATTTGCTTAGCTAATTTTTGTATTATTAAACAGTATTTCGCTGCTATATTAAATTATATGATTCCCTTAAACTCGAAAATCTGAAAAATTTTAAATACAAAATTATTTTCAAGTCTTCGAGGTTTTCCAGTTTAATATAGCAATCTTTTAGCATATTTTTTTTTTTGCTAAAATTAATAATTGCTTACGCGTAGTAGTATTAATTTTTTTTTTAAATAAATAATACACACCTTTTAAACATTATTTACGTTTTACTTCATACAAATTATTATAAATTTGTTTAATAATATTACATATGTATTATACACTCAGCCTTTACAAACACATACATACATACTTATACACGCTATTATATGTTCTAAATTTTTAAACCAGATCATTCACATTAGGCGCTTACGTAAAAATTTAGATATCACCTTTACATACAAATATGTACAATAATTGGCTTCAAATGATATTGAATATGTAGTACGTATGTAAAAATGAAATTTTATGTAATGTTTGTTAAAAAGTATATAAAATGTACGCAAAATATGTATAAAATTACTTATATACATACATATGTATAAATATTTGCATAAACATAGATACAGTCAATCGTAAAAGTGTTTTGCATTGATTTTTTACGGTATTCTAAATGTTCTTCATTGTAAATTTTTTTCGCTAATTTGTTATAAATATATACGTACTTACATACATATGTATGCCTTATTCTACAACAAAAAAATGTAAAAAAAGTATTAAAACTTTTTACAAAACAAAGAAAATTTCAGCACATTTTCAAACTTTTTAGTCACAATTTTTCAAATAAATTTTAGTATAACAAAATGCAAATTTGGAGTATCTCAAAAATTACATTGATTTTTGATAATTTTTTTTGCTGACGGTGTTGAGCATTTTTTCCATATAATAAATTTTTTTGCAAAATACTTCTGTGAGTGACTGTATATACTTGGGGGGTTCACAAAAGAGTCGTAAGTGTAATTTTTAGTAGAATTTAAACGGCTAAACATATACAGCGGTCGAACAAATTATAGCCCCTGCCCCCTTTTTGGAAATTTTAACATATATATTTTTTTTTTTGTTACTTAATTTTGATTATTTTTTACAAAAGTAACTATATTATTATTCTTTAACAAAGCCCGTGTAAATCCAAGTTTCAAATTTTGTGCAATATTTATTTAAAAATATTCAAAAAACTTTCGTAAAAATTAGTAAACTTTTTTAATTAGATTTCCTTGCATTTCCAACTTATTTTTATGTGGAAAAATCAACGATAATTTTTACCCATTTGAAATTTGTACTTACTAGAATTCTAAGGGCTGCAAAACTGCATTCTGAGAATCTTTCTAGGAAGTCTAATTGAAAAAGCTCGACATTTTTACGAAAGTTAGTTGAATTTTTTTGATATTGCACAAAGTTTGAAACTTGGACTTACACGGGTTTTGCTAAAGAATAAACTATAGTTTAATAAAAAGAAAACAATATTATTTAACCAAAAAAAAAAATATTATGTTAAACCTTGTCAAAATGTAGTGCGGCTATAATTTGTTCGACCACTGTATTTACACACTGTTAAAAAATAGTTGATTCTGGTTTGAAGTCCTTCTCTAAATATTTATTTCACTGTGCAAAACTTTACAACATAAGACAATATACAGTTACGACACCTTATGAACAACCTAAATTAAAAGTGTAAGCGCGTTTAAACATTTCCACGTTTTTTCTCTAAATAAAGTGATATTTTCAATCAAAATTAAATAAGTTTTAAAGTTTTTATTGGGTAGGTTCAGGAGGCGCAGCAGTTGAGCTCAATAGTTGCTTAAAAAATCAGTGATCGAAATCAAAGGTACACACCAACATGTTGTCTCAAATTATCAGAAAAATATTACGACACAACTTTTCAGTTGATCAGAAGTAAACAACAACACGTTCAGAAGGTGCAATTGCAACAGTTACTGAGCTGTTGCGCCTTCTGAATTGTCTGCCCATTGTTTTAACAATTTGTGTTGTTGTGGAATAATAGACCAAATAAATCTGAATAGTTCCGATTGCATAGGCCCGACCGACTGACGTTGTTTAAAGGTCGGTGAGAGAGTGATTGTTTTGCGAAATTTCCGATAACAGATTTCGAAAGGTTACAAAAGGTTTGTCCGAATGTGCGAATTAGGAAGCACTTAAAATATTCTTAGGAGTTTTTAGAATTTGTTAAGCGAAAAAATATACATATATATATTTTTTTTATCTAGTTTTTTTCACTCGTTTGTGTTATGTAAACGTGCAGTATTGGCCAATACAATAGCTCCCGCATATGAAAGTGATATTGTTTCCCTCTCATGTTTATTCATTTATTTTGAGAAAATTTCAATAAATATACAGTTCATTCTCTAACAAAACCCATATAAACCCAGTTTAAAATTTTTTAGAAAACTACAAAAAAAATTCAGCAAATTTTCACTAAAATTTCACATTTTTTTCTCAGAAGGGTTAGAATTTTTTTGAGTACACAGTTTTGTAGCCTTTTCGATTTTAATCTAACAATGTGCAAGTTTTAAGTGGCTAAAGCCCAACGTTGAATTTTTAGAATTTTTTAATTTACTATTTATTTTAATAACTATATACAACAATTTTTATTGAGCTTGAGGCCGTTTTTTAATGAAAACTTATTGTGTAAAAGCAACAATAATTTGAAAAAATGGTAGAAGTGATAGCTATTTCGGAAATCACCACATTCCGAAATAGCTATCACTTCTAAAAACAAAAAAAAACATATAAACCCAAGTTTCAATCTTTACGCAAAATTAAAAAAAAAAATATTAACAAACTTTTGGAAAATTTTCCAGCTTCTTATTAGATTTCTTATAAATATAAATATAAATATAAATAAGTATGCAGTTTCGTAGCCTTTTAAATTTTAGTACAATAAAGTGCCAGTTTAAAGTAGCTGGGAACTACCGTTGATTTTTGGCCATTATGTATTTAGTTTTATTTTTATTTTTGTAGGTGTTGCTCATTTTTGGCCATATAAAATAATCGGCGAATAATCATCAACAAAAAAAAATGCCACAAATCAACGGTAAGTAAGTCGAACTTACTAAGTCCTAGTTGCTTTAAACTTGCACTTTAATATGCAAAAATTTAGTGGCCTACTTTATACTCAAAATATTTTTAAGAAATCTGACTGAAAGCCCGAAATGTTTACTATGATTTGTCATTTTTTTTTAATGTTGCACAAAGATTGACACTTGGTTTCATACGGTTTTTGGTTAAGAATAATCTATATTTATATAAACAAATAATTAAAATTAATTACAAAATAATTAGACAAATCTTGTCAAAATGTGAATGTCGTAAAGTTATGATAAGCACTATAGTACTTTTAGCCACGTGCTAAATTGGAGTGTTTAGTTTATTTAGCTATCACTCGAGATTTGTTTATTGGTCAATAAACAGCCGACTAGAGATGGCACATTAGTTGTGTTTGTTTACCCATTTCCAGTAAAATGCAGTAAATTTTTTTACGAATATTCATATTTTGGCGTTTTCGTACGCAAAAACTTGCAAAGTAGGGGAAATTGAAAGAGCGAAAATGACTGCTGAAGTTGCAATTTTTTACTGGATAAATGTTTACTTGTAACAATTTGCCAGTACGAAAAACAGCTGATCGCATGTTGCTGAATGCAATTTCAACTAATAAGGAAACTATTTGTGGGATTTTGTTGTTGAAATTGATAAAATAAACGTATTTACATAATATAAAATATATTGTTTTATTAGGAATTTGCTGCGAATAAACAACCAATTTATCAGCTGTTTATGAAACTTGCAAATTATTACTGGATTTGCATTCGCGTACTTTTTTTGATTTTTTTTCTATGAGAGCGAATTGTTAGAAATTAAGTTCCTGGAGAGTTGCTGGCACGTTACTGGATAATTTGTAAACATTCACAACTATTTGGTGTGTTTTCGTATACTCCAGCATAAAATATCCAGTAACTTGCCAGTAACCAAATTTGGGAGAGTAAGCTAATATTTACTCCCAAAACGCAAAACCTGCAAGAAGTTGCAAGTTTTATGAACAACTGATTAATTTGTTATTTTCCGACGCAATTTTCTAAGAAAAATAGTATTTCCTATCTTATTTTATAAGGGTATTTAAATAGGTTTATTTTGACAATTGCAATAAGCATCATGCCATCAGCTGTTTTTCTTACTAGCAAATAGTTGCTAGTAAAACTTTATTCAGTAAAAATCCAGTAAAACTTGCAAGTTCACCTGTCATTTTTGCTCTCTTTTGCTGGTTTCTTGCAAGTTTTTGTGTGCACATACGCCTTCCAGTAAAAACCAGTAAAATTAGTACTGGTTTTTACTGGATAGTGCGTACGCGAATAGGGATTATATTAGAGAAAATCTCGTCAAAATCCGTTTAGTAGTTTTCGAGATTACCGCGTACAAAGAATTCCGACTTTCCTTTATACCAAATATGTATAGATTCTTTTAGCAACCATACGTTATGACGAAACGGTCAAACTGCTATCAGAAGGTCAGAGTCCAAAATGATATAGCCCTAAAAGATGAGAATCATCACAGGGCAGAACTAAAGTGTTGGAAAAAGTTAATTTAGTAGGTAGTTGATTTAAAGTTTCCTTAATCAGTTAAAAATTGTAGCACTATTTAGTTTCGGAAGAGAAACTGCCTAGCATTATTGAATTGCTTTTTTTTGCAACATCGAAGGCCTTAAAAATCTAAATTAATTTACAATAAAAGTCTACATAGACGGGTTTACCAGCACTCGATTGAATCCAGCTTATGTCCATGGTCACTCAACACCTAAAGATGCAGTGTTGGTCCCTCATCAGGCAATATCTATTGTATCACAGCGCACGGCAGTGCCCGCAAGTGACGAAAGCAGCCACAGTAGCATGCTGAAATGACTCGCTTATATATACACGAGATTTGAAAGTTTTTATCCAGACATGCAATCGACATGTTTGAGGTATCATTGGAAAGGTCTTGTAGAGTGTGTCCGAATTCTTAAAAATTAGGCTAGAGCGTTGCGAATCAAAAAACGGGGGTATGAGGTACACTGAACATATTTAGTGTGTTTCTACAGGTCAATACCTTTCGAACGTTACCTTATATATTGAGTTCCGGCTACTAGTTGGAAATATATAGACATAAATTGATTTTGGTTCATGTCTCCACTACGTGATGCTTTGCCATGTATGTAGCGTCTTTACTGGGAATGTTAATCCCGGGATCCCGGTCTTTTTTAGGTCCCAGAAATCCTGGGATTATTTGTCTGGAATCCCGGGATTTTCGGGATTTGTAATTTACACTGGTGGCAATAATAGAAATCAGAAAGTAGTTTTTGTGTAAACTGCAGATACGTGGTATTGAATATAAGCCCTCGATATGAACACTTCGGCTATCATTACATTTGTATGTACATTAGGGTGCATCACTTTCCATACAAACAAATCGGCATTCTTTTTCAAGGGAACTATAATATTTATTGCATTTTAAGACTTCCATGAAAATATTTCCGAAAAATATTAAAATGTATGTGAGCTGGACCGATTTGAAAATATGTACCCCCAAAAATTTATTAACAAAATTAGCTTTTAAAAATATTTTTTCAAAAAATTACCTCTGAAGACAGAAAAGTTTAAACTGAAAAGGTCTGCATAACAATGTTTAAACATTTTATCAACGGAATCAAAATAATGAGATTTTCGACGGTATTTTCAAATCGGTATAGCTCACGTGAATCTAAATATTTTTTCCAAATTATTTTGGCGGAGCTGTTAAAATATAAAGAATTTCATAGTTCCAGTGGAAAAACCGCACATTTTTTTGGTAAGTCACCCTAATGTACATATGCATGTAGGCTCATTAGAGTGGTACAAAAAATGTTTTTCCCAGATAGGGTTTGGGGCACCATCCAAGATTTTTCCTCTTGCCGAAAGAGGTATCCATTTAGAGGATGCTCATGATGCTCATATATTCTACTCTAGAAGTATTGTGTACATATATTAATCACACAATTGGTTAAGTGACCTAAGAACATTTCAAATTTAAATTATCTATTAAAATATCTCAAGCTTGAGTTATCATGACAGCAGCGCCTTTTTATAAAAATCACCAATAATTTTGCCAGTTTCACAACTATCCAGTAGCGCATTTCAAGGTCAATGAGCACTCTGTATTGGTTGCAGTAGAAAACTGAAAGTAAGGTGGTAACTAAGGTGGTTTTCTAGGATGAAATTTTTTTCCCATAAAAAAATTGGACCACTCTAATGCACATACTGTCTCATATTTCTGAACATTATTTATAGAGTATTAAAATGAGATGATAGAAATGATAATATTGAGATTTATTATACTAGTTGTTAGTCAAATATTAGGGTGTACTTATGTATGTATTTAAATACTGCTGCTAGGTGATTATACATACATCAATTTGAAGTTAGTTGCTGCATAAGTAGAAATAAACTAATTTTGCTGAGGTAATTGGTTGAGCTATGCCGTACTGGGTGGTATATGGTGACAGAAAACGAACGGCTGCGTTCAACCGCACTGATGTAAATACAAGGACAAAGAGACAGAGAAATTGACACAGTCAAAGACAAAGCCGAAGACAAAGACAAAAATAAAGGCAAATGGACAACACGCACTCAGTTTTCATTCCTATGAAGTTTCACTTCTACCGCGCGTAGGGACTAGAGCACTCAGCGACTTTTTGTGAATACTCTAGGGCAAGAAAATTCAAGAGCTACATATGTATATCTAATACCCAGAAATGTGATATATGTTTAGGCTATTAGGTTAAGCGTTTAGAATTCGCAAGCTTTGTATATCAGGTTTTAACAACCTGCCAAATACTTACTAAAATCTTTATTACCTTTTTTACCTCCCAAATTTGTGATTAGAGCAGTGCACGTAAATCTGATATGCCGATATAACTAAACATATGTACATATGTATGTACATACATATGGACGTCTCTTGATGAGCTTGTCTACATCATGGTACCTCAAGTCTGTATAAACATGATAGCCACAATTTGCCGGCGATAAGCCGCCAAGACGAGCAAACAAAAAAGTGTGTGAGTATTTTTGTTCAATGAAATATTAAAAACAAAACAAAAAAGACTAAAAATAATGATAACACGAGCAATATATCAATAGCTAAAAACAATAATGAGCAGTGTGAAGTTTTAGAGCAGTTGCCGCGAGAGGCATAATACATGCACAGGAGAACACTTGGCATAAGGTAAATATGTACATACATACATCTGTAGGTATTGTTGCTAATAGCACCCAGTGAGCAATAGGATATACATACATACGTAATCGGCTCGGCCCCCAAAAGTGCGAAAGCATAAACCGCACTAGGGATGTTTCGAATGTCATATTTTTCACATTCGCGAATTCGAATGCGAATGTGCTAATGTGCGAATGCGAATGCGAATGTTAGGAATAGCATTAAAAAAAATTATAATCAACTTAAGTCGTCGTTTATATTACTTAAAAGTTTTGTAAATTACTAGAACGAGTGCTTAAGCTTTACAGTATTTTAATCTAGTAGTCAAAGTTCAAAAGGAGCATATCATATTTCAAAAAAAAAGGAATTTCGCTGCATTTTCCCCCATGAGGTGATTTCTTAGAGGCTCGTATATAAGGTCGGCTGCATTGAACAATTGCTCACTTGGAACGCTGGCGGTTGGAGCGCTCAAATATTTGCCGGCCAGATCTATCAATTTGTCGTAGTTTAGTTTAGTTTTCCGCCAATCGAGACGATTTTCACCGAGATGAGCTCGTTTTTCTTTAAGATAGGCCTTCAATTGAGCTTTAATTTCGCATTTTTTAATGTCTCCAGACTCTACATTGGAGCCTTCGCTTTCGCAGTAGGAATCTAAAATTATTTCTAGGTTACTTATAACACTTTTAGCAGTACTTGTTGAAGGCCCATCAATGTAGCTTGATATACTACTTAACCGTTTAGCGCCTGAAGCTAAAAGCCGGCTATTGTCCGCACCCTGGTTAGACAGACTTAGAGCCATTTCAATAATATTAGAGTGGACTCTCTTTTTTTTTCTAAAGCATGAAGCCTTTTTAATCCCTTTTAGTCTATTGTTGATTATGATCACGAAATTGACAGAATAGTGCTCCAAATAGCTGACCTCTTGAGGTACAATATTTAATATTTAACTGCAGCAAATTCATTAGTAAACTAGAAGGCTTACTGGGTTAACACAAATTTTTCCAAGCTGACATAACGATCACGCCAACGCACTAGCCATCGAATTAAATGCGCCTGTTCGAGTTTAAAATTGCTCACGGCACTTCATTTATTCGTCTGGTGAGCGCCGCGCGGTAGTGTTGTGCTGTTGCGGTAGCGCGCGCATTTACGTTCACTGCCTTTTTGCTAAGTTTTCGAAGTAGTTCAAAAAACTCAAAATAGCGCGTCGATCATCTAAAAAACAGCTACTTAAAAAAAAAAATCCGCTCTCGAAATCGCTACGCTACAAATATACAATAATGACAGCTGAAATAACGAACCACACACTGCCAACAGCGAGTGGTGGCGAACAGGTGGAGGCTAACAATAAGAAGGTGGAGGATGATTGCACGCTCGATGGCATCCTTGTGCGTATCGGACAATTCGGGCGCTTTCAACTCTTCAACTATGTGCTGTTGTGCATACCTATGATCTTCAATGCGTTCTTTTCCATTTCTTATGTGTTTACTGCGAGTACGGTGGTGCACAGGTGGGTGACCATAAAATTTTTAGAGAACATATTTGTAATAAATCAGAGACCCAGAATAATAATTATTTCATGGTGGAGTTTTAAAAAAGTCATCAAGATTTTCGTAAGAATTATAAAAGTCCTGTGATAATAATTATGTGTGAGAAAATTTTTTTAAGTCATCGATAACTATTATTTTAAGATTTATATAATAGAAATCTTTTCATAATAATTATCAGCGAGATAAATATTTTTAAATCTTCAAATACTTTTATTTTGAGACTTATATTATAAAAGTCTTGTCATAATAATTATCATTGAGATAAATATTTTTAATATTTATTTTATTTTTATTGTAAAAGTCGTTTGATAATAATTATGAGTGCGAAAAAATTTTGTATATAGTCCCGAACGAGTCCCACACATAGCCCGAACTGGTCCCCACTTTATTAAATAAACGGAACGAATTTTCCAGGTGTAATGTGACGCAATGTGATAGCTCGGCAAGTGCTTACAATGAGCCGTGGCTCAATTATACCATACCCATGAAGGGATCCAGCTATGAACAGTGCGCTCGCTTTGTTGCTACCAACAATGCTGATGCCGATCCGTCAAGTGAATTTTGCACACCTGCATACTTTAGCCAAAATGTTACCGAGAAATGTGGAAATGATTTTAAATTCCGTGATGAAGAGTATACAATATCCAATGAGGTAAGGCAATTGATTTTCCTTTTCATTTTTTTTATTTTTATCATCTCAATTTTACTTCTTTAGTTCTCCATATTCTGCTCAGATATATGGATATTGACAATGGTTGGTACGGTAAATAATATTGGACAATTTGTCGGTATACCAGTGGGTGGCTTCTTTGCAGATCGGTGAGTGTGATATTTCTCTAGCAACCAATTTTTAGGCACTATTAGGGCCGTTTTCTCAAGTAGCTTTTAAGTTTTATCTGCCATTTAAACACAGAGTTTGAGAGCAAATAGAATATGATTGATTAAAAAAATAAAAAAATAAAAATCGATGCATTGTAGAACAACAATATGGGTATCAATTAAAAGTACAAATTCTGTAGAATAGAAAATAATAATAGTTTTTGGGTGCACCGGGACGAATAAGTATTAAAAATGTCCTTTTAAAACTTTTTCCTTGAATATCCTGGGTAATTTCCAATATCTATTTTAGAAGGAAATATATGTCAAGGACTAATTTGTTAACTACCACATCCTCAAGTTCCATCCTTTTAACTTTATTAGTTTTAGATAAAAAAAACACTGTACACTTCCCTTTATAAGATATTGAAAGCTACAATATACATAAATGAAGATACTGGAATCGTTATTTTGGAACCATGTATGCGCTCTAAAAAAACAAACTGGCCGTATGATGTACGGTTTAAATGCTTTAATTTTTTTGCTATACAAGAGTATATATGAATCAAAATTTTTGGGATTAATAAAGTATACGTTTTTTGGTATCCTTTACAACGATACAAATTTTTTAAAAATCGGTTTGTAATTTTCTTGTTTAAAATATTACTTTTATAAAAAAAGGTATTTTTGCTTTTACGTGTTGTTTCTCAAATTTTTATATACGAAGTATACAAATATGCATACCAGAAGAAAAGGGGTTTAATCGCCTTTACATTGATACGAAAATTTTAAAAATCGGTTTGTAATTTTTTTGTTAAATTGTTGTTTTTAATAAAAAAAAAAGGTATTTTTTCATTGTAAGTGTTTTTTCTAAAATTTGTATATACGAAGTATACAAATACGCATATCAGAAGAAAGAAAGTTTGATTGCAACTTTTTAAAAATCGCTTAGTATTTTTTTTGTTTAAAATATTTTTTTATAATAACAAGGTATTTTTTCCTTTTAAATGTTTTTCTCAAATTTTTATATACAAAGTATACAAATATGCATATCAGAAGAAAAGAACTTGAACTTCGAAGGCCTATATCTCGATTTCGGAGGCTAACTTCGAAAAACGGAGAAATTACTTTTTTACCTAGGACTTAATATCTTAAAAAAATGGTTTGGTCCAATACCCAGCGGAGTGCTGTACACTGTAATATTCGTGTATCTTCAATTTTGTATATTTTAACTCTCAATGTCTTATAAAGAGAAGTGTAAAGTTTTTTATCTAAAACTAATCAAGTTAGAAGATCGAAATTCGAGGATGTAGTAGTTACCATATTAGTCCTAGAAATATATTTTTTTCAAAAATAAATATTGGAAATTTCCAAGGATATTCAAGGATAACGTTTTAAAAGGACATTTTCTACACTTATTCGTCCTGGTGCTACAAAAAATTATTAGTTTTTTTTTAATTCTACAGAATTTTTCCTTATAACTGAGACCCATATTGTTACTCAACAGTGCACCAAATCTTTTAAATAATTTTTTTATTCAATCATATCCTGGAAATTTGAAAGTCCTTTAAAAAAAATGCTGACGTCAGAGGGAAAAATTAAAAACGCAGTTATACTATATTTGGCTACTAGTTTTGTGAATATAGGTATTGATTTTTTCGTGTTTTAAAAATTTTTGTTTTTTGTCGCACGGTGTTATCGTTGATATTTGACGATATCACATATCGATAAGAAATCGACGCTGAAGTCGATAAAGATATCGATAAATTTATCGGAAATTATAGTTTGTAATGACTATACGCATTGAGAAATAATTTTCTTATTATACGGTTAATATCCGGATATCCGGTTAATAATCGGATATCCAGTTAATATCCGGTTGACATCCGGATATCAGTTTAATATTTAATAAATTTTTATCACCAGGATATTCAAAAAAATCCGGATAGAACTCCCAGCCCTAGGACCTATCTGTATCAACAAATTTGTGTTTTGAAAATTTTTGGTTTTTGTCGCACGGTGTTATCATTGATATTTGACGATATCACATATCGATAAGAAATCGGAGATACGCATCGAGAAATAATATCCGGTTGACATCCGGATATCAGGTATCAACAAATTTGTATATAGAAATATCGAGAAATATGCTCTACATACGTATGTGCGCTTTGAGTAAATATGTAAATTGGTGATAACGATAACGACATTTATCGATGTATTGTGGAACGATTTTCCGTCATCCCTTGTCAAATTTGGTTTGGGGACAAACCGGTTTCGGCGTTGTGCCATCTTCATTCACATTTATCGATATAATTATTGAAGTTTATATATATCGATACCGTTGCCGATATATTAAATAATAGAATTAGTGATGTTCTTATCGATTAATCGATATTTGTTGATATGATTATCGATGAATAATAAATTTGATCTAGCAACTTATTTCGGAATCGTTATTTTTACAGTTAGGAAACATTAAATTAACTTCCCTTTCCCCACTTTATCCCCACCCACAGCCTAGGTCGTCGCACGATGCTCGCCGTAGGTGGTTTTCTCAGCGCAATAATGGGTTTATTGCGTTCCATATCGAGCAGCTACTATATGTTCATCGTATTTGAATTCGTCGATATGGCCGTTGGCAGTACACTCTTTCCAACTGCCTTTCTACTGGCCATCGAGTTGGTAGGACCAAAGCGTCGCGTTGCCGCAGCTACTATCATCACAATTTTCTACTCGCTGGGTGAGGCCCTATTGGGCGTTTTAGCACAGCAATTCCAAAATTGGCGCAATTTATTGCGCGTACTCTACGCACCAGCAATTCTGCAGATACTCTTCCTTTTTATACTACCGGAAAGTGTACGGTGGCTATTGAGCCAGGGTAAAGAGGAGGAGGCTACACGTATATTAAAACGTGCTGCACGCATAAATAAACGCGAAATACCAGAGGAAGATCTTAAAGCCTTGGTGGAAGAAAATCAAGCAAAACTCGAAGAGGCACGTGAAAGTCATTATCCTATAGTGAAGGCTTTGAAAATGTTCCGTTGGCGTATATTAAATTGTTGTTTGTGCTGGTTTACGCATACTTTGGTGGCCTTAGGACTGAGTCTTACCTCAGTCACTTTGGGTGGCAATAAATACACGAATTTCCAGCTGAATGGCGTAATACAAGTGCCGGGATTAATTTTGCCACTGTTGATTATGGATCGAATTGGTCGCCGCTACTCGCTTTGTGGTTCCATGCTGTTATGCGCACTCTGTATGGGCATCACAGCGTTGGTGGGGAGAAGTAAGTTCGCAAAGTTTCAACTGCACATATTTTAAGGAGTTTCCAATATTTATGTTCATATATTTTGCAGATCACGCTGCTGCCGAATTGGTGCTATTTTTAATAGGAAAACTTGCAATTACATGTAGTTTTCAGATTTTATACTTTTTCACCTCAGAAATATTCCCCACCAATGTTCGCAATAGTTTGCTATCATTTTGTTCTATGGTTGGACGCATCGGTTCGATGTTGGCGCCACAAGCACCGCTCTTGGTATGAACACAAAAAAAAATCTTTTGTTTGAATATAAATTTGTAATCTTTTGGTACATTTGATAGGCCAATTACTATGAGTACGCACCTCAAATACTTTTCGCCATCTTTGCTTTGATTAGCGGCACCTTAACTCTACTATTTCCAGAAACAACTGATAAGGTGCTACCTACAACGCTACAAGATGCCGAGCATTTGAATGATAAAAATCATAAAAATGCTAAAAACATTGATGAATAACGGTGATTGGGGGGTCGGAGGACGTTTTGTGTTAGAACTATGTTGTCAATGGCAAATCTTTTTAGTTATTTTTTATATTACGTTTAATTTAAGAGTGCATGGTCGTGTTTGTATGTAGAAAAGTGAAAATGTGTCACAGTCAAGGCATTATGCCTTGGCACATAATTATTGAATAAAATCAGTTCAAAAATATAAATACAAAGGAACTTTTGTGGTTCAAATAGTTTAAAATTTTTTCTTTATTCGTTTGTGGACTCTATTTAAAACTGCGATATCACTAGCTTAATAGTGAAAAGTTGCTGAGTGCATTTTTACAAATTTCAGGAGAGAAATCAGTGTTGCCAACTTTTGATTTTCAAAAAGCACCAAAAACCTGGAAAAAAGCGTTTTACCACACTAAAAGCACCAAATGGTTTTAAATCAATGGATGCTTTTTTCATAACAGTTTGTATGTATTTAACAAAAGCGAAAAATTAATAATATTTACAAGAATGCATACATAAATCAATACACAAAACTTTTTGGCTCATAACGATTGAAAAGCTACATGCTATAACGTAATACCGTCATGCCTACGACGTAATACCGAAGTACTGCACATTAAAACTGATATATCTCAAGAAAGAAAAATCGAATCCCAACAAACGAAAATCATGCTCTAAGTAGAAATGAGCAAACAAAATATGTTTTCCTTATATAACCTCAAATATCGCCAAAAACCGTGATATTGGCACTTTGAGGTTAAAATATCTCAAAATTCTAGTGGTAGAGCAATTGTGCGGCCAGATTTTTTGATTCAGCACCAAGAAACGATGTATTTTACTCAGGTGGTACAAAAATACAAATTTTTACAAATAAGTAGAGAAAAAAAAATAACTAACTTACTCGCATATCTACTAGCATTTTCAACGCGAATAGAATTGAACAAGGTGGGTTTGCAAGTTCAGCTTTTTATCAATCATGGTTGTATTTAAGTGCATTTAAATTTGTAGATTTTTGTAAATTCAGTGCTGCCACAGCTTTAAATATTTAAAAATTATTTCAGATTTTAACTATATCGGAGTAATTTTAGTTCAGAAAAAAAGCACTAAAAAGCACTAGGCACTAAATATTTTTTTTTTTGGCGTTTTAATTTTCAAAAAGCACTAAATCTAGTGCTTAAAGCACCAAGTTGGCAACTATGGAGGACATACTTCTTAAAGCCATTGGGCCTTATGAATAAAAAATAGGCAATTGCTTTTTCTTAAAATTCCAGACCTTTTACTCGATTTGTTCGAACAAATTTCATTTGATTTCATTTATTAAACAAATTCATTAGTACAATAAGAACTTAAAGCTCTTTTATAGTGCAACAGTAATTATAAAGCACAAACATAAAAAAAAAATATTAAGTAAAAGGTCTGAAATTTTAAGAAAAAGCAATCGCTTATTTTTTATTTCATAAGGCCTATTTTAAACACGTACATTCATATCGCTAGCTTACAGTGCAAAGCCGCTAAGTCCAGTTTTTTTTAATTTTACTGCAGAGGGAAAAGCTTCCCAAAATAATATTCTTGAAGTATGTATTAAAATTTTGTATTAAAAATTTTGCGTATTTAAAGCAAACGATAGAATTCGACGCATATTAAAGGTTTCCGTATCCCTTTGCACTTAGCAAATTTGAGTTTCACTGAACAGAATTAGATAGAAACGCAACTATGCGTTTTTGGTTTTTCTCGCCTCCTACATCAAAGGTGAATTCTCCAAAGAACTGGACTTAGCAGCTTTTTCACTCCAAGCCAGCGACATGTATGTATGTGTGTATATAAAAAAAATATATATTTACGGAGTAACTAAAACCTACAAATTTTTCATGCGGACTTACCTTATAATTTTAGTATTTAGACCTGAATGATGGATTTTAATTTCCAATGATTTAATTGAAAGAAGTATGAATTTGTGAATGTAAATGAAGCGATATATCATTATTGCTACTGCTGTTATTTCAGCACGTTACTTGGCTGCTTTTCTGTAAATTAATCTTCCAAATGCGGTTACATTTGGTTTTCAATTTAATTGCTTCCACTTTTGAAATATAACGTCATATATGATCATGACAACATGATGCATTTCTAGTATTTAATTGCTTATTCTCGTAATTTGATACGCATATGTATAGGTATGATTGCTCTACGAAAATAAACCGCTTCGAACTTATTTCGGAATGCATGCTAAACGCAAAGACTTTCCAATTTAAATGCCTCGGTTGTTTAGTTTACTATCTGCAGGTGGCGCTGTACGTTTTAGAACTATTTGAAAGTTCTCAGTTATAGCGTAATCATCTTTGAAAATCGCCACCAAATTTAACTCGAATTCTGAAAAAGAAAATTGCAGTTAACACCTTCGGAATATTCAATAATATGTATGAATAGTTACCTATTTTGAAATTCTTTGTTATCAATGTCGGACACGTAAATAAACGCGGCAATATCATATAAATGGGTATTTCCAACTTTGGGCACACGTTGCCATCTGCAATTTGTATGGTTTGAATTTCTGTCGCGTCTTTGGAATAGCCCTCAGCGCAGCCGCAGGTCTCCACACGCACTAATTGCAGTTCAATTGATTTTATAGCTACTTCCGAGTGCTGTACGGTTAACTATAAGAAATTAATAAGAGTTAAATATTTGAGGATACATTTTTTACACCTGCACAAACCTGACCCGTCAATGGCCGTGTTACACAACACTCGGTCTGATCTAGTTTGCCAGTTATTAGAAATCGTGGTATATTTATACGGTCCTTTGCAGTCTTTTGCAATGTCTCTGGACTTATACTGAAATTCACTTCTGTGTTGGCCAGCGCTTTGGTATCCAACGGCGTTGGCTTATTTTGTATACAGAATTGCTGAGTCTTCTGTAACGATTTAGCTAAAAAGCTACGTTTTACATCACATCGCAACTGGTAATTAACGTTAATAAAAACACCATGATATGTTTCATAAAGCACACGAGGTTCCTTGTTGCAGACCAATGGTAGCTCAAAGTGGAATTCAGAATTACCAGAAGCCAATTTGCCAGGCGCTGCCAACTCTAGTGTTGTGTTAAGTAGTGTTATGGGCTTAACAGAATTGTAAAATGCATCAAAAAGACCAACATTTTTTGTGCTTAACTGCAAGTTTACAACGCCCTCCAGTGTCAGCAAAATGCCGTCATGCTTTGCCTCTGATGGGCAGTTGAAATGCACGCAGCCTCTTAACAGCTCCTGAAAGGTTTTTGGTGAGTAAATATTAATTTGTCAGATTTCTTAGTTTCATACGCCTTCGTGATATATTTTATTCTCCTTATTTAATCTTATTTCAAAGTTGATTGCGCTCATATTGCCACTAATTTACCAAACCAATCGGGAGACGTAAAAACAAACCGCGCGTCCAAAAGAATTCAATCAGCAATCAGCTGTTTGGGGTTGGAAAGCCTTTGTTTACAAGAGCACTCAAACTGTTAGTCTAGATACATATCGATATGTCTTTTTAAAGATCGATATATCAGTCGACCGCTGACTTAAAGGCCCTACACACGGATTGATTTCTAGGCCAATCAGTTGACCAACCTACTTAATGAAATTCCCTACAAACGCGCCAACTGGTTGCCGATTTCATTTGAGTGACAGTTTTTGAACTGTGAACAACACAACAGCACTGGTAAACTTTTATGCTATGCTACGAATGCTTCGCATATTTATGTATTTGATTTTGCTGCCGCCCCCGTTTTTATAAAGTATACGCATTTTCACAAGCGAAACGAACCTGAAAAAAAACATTTTAACGTTAATGAGCCATTAAAAAAATTAAATCGCATTTTAGGTTCCCAACTTGTCTACACACAGAGCATCAACCTCATTGACCAACCTGCCTCACAAATTTTCTGATTTTTCTCCAACCTGACGAATAATTTGACGAAGGTTTGCCAACTTGCCTACACATGGCTTATTTACCAACAACTTCTAGCGGTTGGTCAACTGGTTGGCCGATAAATCGATCCGTGTGTAGGGCCTTTTATTGTTAATTCAAACAGTGGCGGAGTTGGCTATTTTTAAGGTGAAATTAGTCGGGAATGTAAACCTACCATTACGTAAACGCGAGTCAGTGCCACGATCTGTCTTACCAGAACGCCATGAAAATGAAAACTCAACACCGCTGCTGATTTCTTCCTTCTATAGATGGTTGCCACTTCGTCAGTTTTGCAGATGGTAAACAAGTTATAAGTTCCTTTTCAAAATATGTTTAAAATGTTTGAGGTTTACTATCGAATAAGGTTTTTGGTTGAAAGTTAGTAGTTTATATTAAGCTAGCATCTATTATAGCACGAAAAGTTTTAGTTGAAAAGGTAAGTTTATGAAAAGGCATTGATGAGTGGCAACACTGTAGTAAGCAACACTGAGGGCTCCAGTAATCGACAAAATTTTCAGACAGCGTTTAAGTATACGTTCTGCGTTCTTGACTAATTTTAACTTAAGTATAAGTTCTGCGTTCATGACTAGTTCCACCTTTAGTATTTCAGTTTGGGATTAGATTAAAACTATTAAAATAGACTAGCTCGAAATCAGCAGAGACCATCTCAGAAAAGCTGAAAACACCATGGAAAATTTGAAGAGACTGATAAAATCGTATGAGGAATGGGTGGCCGCAAATCCAGAAACTGTATGCGACGTAGAAACCACAACAAAATGGGTATCCTATTTTATTGCTGGTATGTACTTAATTCCATATCCGCTTGCACCAATAAAATGAATTTTCTCTTAGGACGCATTTCTGATTCAAATGTTGTCTCCGAGCTCGTATACACTCTATCCAATATGTTGGTGCTCTACAATGACCGCATAATCGACAAGTCGAGGGACAACAATCTATTGTCTGATTTGGCACGAGTGAACTTCGACGCTAGTACTAGTGTTGTAGCACGTAGCAACAACAAAAAGGAAAAATATGTTTATCGACTAAAGGTCATGTTGACTACATTGGAGTACTGTGAGGTTTTAATTGAGATTTCGGCCAAACGTATTTTCGGTAATAGCGGTAAGTGGATATTCGTAGCGGTGGTACAATTTGCCAAAGCAGCTGGTCGCTTTTTCATACTTAAGCACTCTACTGAAAAAATAATCACTACACCAGCACTTCCTGCGCTTAATCGTCGCGCACTAATCAAAAAACAAAAATCCGCTCTGAAAAAAGGTGTAAT